GTTCGAGATTCGGCAGCACAGAGTCCACTGCAAAGCTGGTTGCTCATCACTGTTTCCCCCCTCACAGCAGAGATTCTGGTCCCGGGGTATCACTGTTTGAATGCTTCCTTGGATGGTGTACGCTGCTGAAACAGCCTCGGAGGCTTTCCTGTTCTTACAGATCTTGCCTTTTACTCTGAGAGATGAATGATATCCTCTCTGTATGTAAGATCTCCGAGCAGTACTTCTGTTTCTCACAGTAGATGTCATTCCATTGTCTTTTAGCTTCCATTGTTGCAGGTGAGAAATCCATTAGTCTCATTTGTGTTTCTTTTCTAACAAGAAAAGTAACTTATTTTTCCTCTCTCTAGAATCTTATCTAATATCTTTATCCATAAAGTTAAAGAATTTTTCTAGGATGTGCTTAGGGTGTGTGTGTGTGTGTTTCCTTCTTAATTTTACCCACAACTTTATTTTCTGTTTTGAGTTATTTCTTCTACTTCAAAACTATTAATTTGAATTTCAGCACTGACCACCCTCTCTTTTTCAACTAATTCAACTAATCTACCATATTTTTTCAGTTTGGAAATTACAGCGTGTAGCCCTAGCATTCAGCTCTTACTGCAGGTTCTGTCGTTGTTACTTTTGTTCTTCTGGGGCATGTGGATGTCTCTGAGTTCTCTCAGGTCATTTTGATTTGGATGCTTCCCGATCTGTCTGCCGTGGCTCCTCTCCCCCTTCCCGAATGCCTGGTGCCCCGAAGCAGCTGTTGCCTGCCGGGGGCCTTAGGAAACTGTGGGAAGTCCTGAGACTCCGGGGACAAGCCTTTCTACCCCTAGATCCCTTAGTTGGCACTGTCACAATATCAGAGTGGAGACACTGCGTCTGTTTAGTTCCCCCTGCTCCTGAGGGGCCAGGAAAGCAGCAGCTCCTGCAAGGCCACAGTGACTGCAGCCAGGCCCATGGGAAGGCCAGCGACCCCTCTGGTCCCACAGAGCCACAGTGCTCTTTCTGATCTCCACCCAAGGACTTAGCCCCATTCTAAGCTCTTATCAGGGGAAAGGTACCTGCATTGGCTTTGTCCTTCGGGCTCCTAGTAGGGTTCCAGAGCTCATTTGTCCCCCTGAGCACTGCTCAGCTCAGAGCAGGTAAGGAGTTGGCTGGGGGGTAGGGTGGATGACACATTATCCAAGCCACCATTGTGCCAGAGTCCTGCATGCTTCCATGCCAATGCAGACTGCGTGTAGTGACCTTTGTTTCCCAGATTAGGGGTCTCCTTGGTAAGTGGAAGGTCTAGCACCCGACACACTTGTATGAAAGATGGACCGGAGCCAGGATGCCGCCCGCTGGGGAGATGCCACACTGAGAAACCAGGGCTGGAAGGACCCTTTCCCACAAACTACACATGAACTGGCCTTGGGCCAGCCACGTCATGAGGTGAGAAGTAGAAGCCACGTTTGTAAGAGCTGGGGTGGCCAGGCACCAATGCTGAGAAGCAGGAAGACAAGGCCAATCCCGAGGCAGCGGGCAGGAAGGAGGAGCGGGGACACCAGGCGAGCCCCACTCGGAAACCAGTGAGCACCTGTCTCTGCCCATCTGCCGTCCTCCTTTGCGACTTTGCTTTCTATTTTGATCTCAGATAAGTAGAAATGTAGACATAATGCTATTTGCTTTTTAAATGTAAAAACAGATAACCTTCCTCCCCATGGCCATCCTATCACTGAAGAATAAGTGATGGTCTTCCCATTTTAAATTTCTGAACTTTGTAATCCCACACCGATTACTACCTGGTAAACATGTTGGGTAAAGACCAGCCCAGAGGTGTTCTTCTTGGGCTTATGGTTCTGTGGAACACGAGGGTTCTTATCTCTAGACATCACCTCGTTTCCAAATTCACCCTCATGACCAACATACCTCATTGGAGTTGATCAACGTTCGTGTTTGGTCAAAAACACTACAGGGCCATGGAGTGGGGCAGAGGGAGGAAGGAAAGCCTTTTATTTTATCATTGCTCTAAAGCTGTGGCATGATTTTCTGCAGCTGTTTCAGAAAAAATGTGTCTCAGACCTGACAGGATAAATTCTCTTCAAGGAGGAATCAAAGAAAATAGTATCCAAGAATGCAAAACAAGCCATTGTCATCCTAACCCCGTCACACATACAGAGAGCTTCACAGCTGCTAAAAGAGAAACTATTTCCATCACCCAATAAACCCCGTGAAGAGACTTAAAGAGAAAGAAATCTGTCTGCGATCCAGTCTAATTACACATTTCTGTAAAAATGAAATCATCCCCAGCTTCACGGCATCTAAAGAGAACATGGACTGAATAATAGTCACCTGCTAGTCGGGAAAGTCATAAAAATGACTGAAATCAAGTTTGATAATAGACCCTAAAATGGGTCAAAAAATAAAATAAAAACAAAAAAAAACCCTAGTTCTGGATCTGACTTCATGTGACTGCATTCTCCGGGTCTCTACTCCTCCCCAGAAGCAACATTTCCCATGTGGCTCAAAGAATAAGTGGACTTCGAATTGGCAGATTGTTGTAAACTCCACAGACAAGCTAAATTAGCATGACTTTTTGGAACTGTTTCAAAGGTCTTTGGCTACTATTAACATTTTTAATCTTTCATTTTTATTGTGTGTATGATGTCAGGAGCTGTGGCAGGAAGCACATTTTGTCAATTGAATAATTAATCCCACAGCATAATAGTCAGTGAGGGAAAAGTGACATTTGTCAGGTTCAAAGGCAATGACAGCCTAGGAGGATTTTTCATTAGGCTTGCACGAGAAAATCACACTCAGAGCCGACTTTCCTTCTACTGCTCCGGGGACAAACATTCCCCAAGTCCAAGCGAAGGAGAGAACAGGGATGGCCACGCCCCCTGTCCCTCATCCCCATCCACCCAATCACAAGGTCATGTCAACTTTATTTCCTAAACACGCCTCCAGTTCGCTCAGCTCTCTATCTGCACCATCAAAACGGGCTGGAACGGACTGACGGACCAACGGGCAATTTCATACTGAACTGCCTGTTTTCTGCCTTGGCCCTGAGTGCTAGGGACACACGGCCTGGGTTCAAGTCCCAGCTCTGCCACGGAATCAGGAATCAGGGCATCATAGCTCTATATGGAAGTACATCCCCAGTGTGTGTTTAATACCGTCTGATTCATGCACACGACCCTGAACAGTGGCTTTGCCTTTGACCTCTGCTCTCAAACCTCTTCTCAGGACTCACAGAGGCCTCCGCCTTCACCAGGAGCCTGGCTCACTCACTCTCTTTCCTGCCCCTTTTCATTCTCCCGCCCTCGGCCGCAGGGAGCTGAGCAATCGTACTATCAGGTCCCCTATGACCTACGTTCCAGGGTTTCCACAGATGGTCCTGCCCTGTCATCCACAACCTCTCTGCACTGGATTAGCACGGCCTGGGGTGAACATCTCAGCTCGCTATATTTAACCTCTGTAAGCATTCTCCACTCTGCCAGACCAACGCTTGCTTGGGGTAGAGATGCTCTCCCCAAGGCATCCGCCTCATGTGCTTTTTTCTCCTAATTGTCTTCCACAGTGTGTTTTGTCCCCCTCCCCCAAAAGGGCACTAAACAGTTGTTTTTGTTACAAAAAGCTAGACTTTACACTGGGCTCAGATTGCAAACATTTCTACAACTACCCACTGTTTTTGAAATTGGTGAAAGATGTACCCTGATGATCTATATTGGTTGTGTAATATACAAGGTAATATACAAAAGAAAAAAATACTGGGTTTTGAAGTGTAACACATTTTACAATGAACTAAAGTCTGTTTAACAAGATCACAGACCTCAAATGTGTGTTCTATATCGTCCCTTAAAAACTGGATTAGAACACATAAGCTGTTTTGCCCCCTTTCATAAAATTTGATACCTGTAATTAAGACATGCTTTAGGGGAGAAAAAATTCACTCCTTAGTAAATCAGATGTGTCTGCCTTGATGTACACTGGTTTGGGTGAGCAAACAATATTTCAACCTACTTAGGGTGGTTCGTTCCACAATGCAGAGAAGAAAAGAACCATGGGAAAAATTCAAACTTTTGAATGATTTAGTGCATTATTATTTTTTCTTCAATTTGTTTCTGCCCGCTTATCAAACTGTTAGTCACACCATCTGTAAGGTGACCGCAAAAGGATGAATATCTTCTTTATTTTTGAAGTTCGTTTTTCTTCGCTTCCTGATTAAATTAGCAAAGGGATGCTAAGTTCTATGTAAAATGTGCAATACAAGTGTAAGAGGATTTTACTTTTATTAGGAGTAATCTTGCCCACAACTCAAGAATGTAGTAGAAGAAACAAAATATAACTCTGTATGCTTAATTTAAAATAAGCTACTGTCTCAAAGCCTGGACTGGGAGGTTCAGGGCTGTGACATTAAGTTACAGAAGTCACTGGCGGGTTTGCAGGCAGAGAACAGTGTAAAAATGTTCGACAGATACATGCGACTGACCAGACCACAGGGATTATATATGCGAAATTAGGGTGTGTTAAGGTTTAACTCCAATGTCCCAGAATGTCTGCGAGAGAGGAAGTGGGATCCTTCCAAGCAGGCTATTGTGTGAACACAGACACCGAGATCTGGGCAGGATGGGTCACGAGATGACCCCGAATGAGAACTTTCCCTTTCTGATGAGAAGAAGACCACATTCCTTTCTCCGTGCACCGGCTCCAACCATATAAACCATGTGGTGAGCACCCTCGGGCGAGTGAAAGCCAGCCCTGGACACCTTTCTTGTTCATGCCACACACTGGGCCACGTACAGAGTCCAGACCTCCCGGCCTCAATGTGGAGCTGGGTGCCTGTGTGGCGGCAGGTGACTTTCTACCTCTATTCTGGAATAGCTGTGCTCATCTAATGTCTCAAAATCGGAGTCAGAAGCTAGGACTTCAACAGAAGAAAATAATCCTGTCACCCCGAGCAGAAAACAGCGAGCACTGCACGTTCCCAAGGCAGCCCCCCGGCCCAAGCCCGGTGTCCCCCATCAGGCACCTACCTTGTCTGCCGTACTCATCCGCCTCGCGGTGCACCAGATCCTTGACTCTGTTCCCGTAAAGCAGCCGCGAGGAGTCGTGATCGAAGGCTTTCAGGGTCTCGCTGGAGCTGTAGGACTTCTGCGTGGGCACCCTACACTCCTCGTTGTCGGCCGAGGAGTTGGTGTGCCGCCGCTCTCGCTCTCGCCGGCTCTTGGTCAGCGAGCAGTAGGGCCTCCGCTCCTTCACATCCATGCTTCATTCCTCGTGCGCGCATCCGCCGGCGGGCGCTGCTCAGGCCGCCCCGCTCATGGGCCTTTCTGCAGGGAGAAGGTGAGCACGGTCAGGTCAGGGCTCCAACCCCGCCCCCCCGGGCCGTGTGGCCCAGCGGCCGGAGCACCTCCCACCCCCGAAGGCCGCTGGTTCGGGCCGGGGCGCACACCCGGCTGTGGGTCTGACCCCCATTTGGGGTGCCTACGGGAGACAGCCGCATCCGTGCGTCTCTCTCCAGTGATCTCTCTCTCTCTCCCAAAATCGATACAAACATATATATATATATTTTTTTATCCTCACCTGAGGATATTTTTCCATTTTTTGTACAGATAGAGTGGGAGGGAGAGAGAGGAAGGGAGAGAGAGAGAGAAACATCGACGTGGAAGGGACACATCGAGTGGCTGCCACCCGCATGACCAACCAGGGCCGGGGACAAACTGCAACCGAGGTACGTGCCCTTAGTGGGAACCGAAACCGGGTCTCTCCCGACCACAGGCCGACCGCTGAACCAAACTGGCCAGGGCCAAACATATCTTTTAAAAAAAATTAAATAAATAAAAACTGACTCCATCCTTCACCATCTGGAGAACAGTGGAAAGTAACAGTACTAAGAAGCGCTCCCAACAAGAACTGGACATCTGCGGAGTCCGTGTAAATGATCCTGTATCACTAGGAACGGAGGCACGTTTTCTGTTCATGTGAGTTACGGGAGCTTAACTTGCTCTGATTTTTCACATTAATAGAAAACACAAACTTAAGTTCAAGTGCAAAATGGACGCCAGGAGCCAGCTTAGACTTGGCCTCAGTACGTCTGTTAAATTTTCCACGATGGAAACGTTTTCTCTTGCAGCATTTTCTTCCTTCATGAATACGTTCCCTGTTGTTTTCTTACAAAATCATACACTATTATCACTTTTTTTGTTTTAAAGCAGGAACTCACTGGGAGGCTCTGAGAGCAGAAACTGTCAAATGAATGACTGAGCATTTTATTATTTTCTACAGACTTTTCCTTCGGAGGACATGGTTCTCCTGTTTCAAGGACCAAACTGTCTTGAACTGCGGGAAAAGCTGATTCTTCTCTCCTAATCTTCTCTTTAAAAGGCATTTTCCTGTCTGAGAAATGAACTTAATCAGTGTTATCTCAATATTTAAGGCAGTTCAAGTGGCTAATGTGACGGGCTGGTGCCTGGCCACTCCGCAGCAGAGGTGGAGGGACCAGCGATCCGTCCGCCCAGCTGCTCTCTTCCCTGAACCTGCTGAACGGCGGGGACGGAGGGGAGACGGCTTCGCCCTAAGTTATGGGCCCAGCGGAGGGAGCCGCCCAGAGCTGGTGGCCTGCAAAGGGTCCTCCTTTGTCCTCACTCTTTCTCCATGTGTCCTTCCCTTTCCTCCGAAGGTCCCTGAAGGCTTCGGCTCTCTGGGTCCCCAGCCCCCCTTTCTTTTCTAAATTCACTTTCGTCAGAGCAGTTCCATACCCAACTGTAAACAAAGGCTGGCCAGTGGCCTCAGGTCTTCTCTTTGGTTCCGCATCCAGAGCTGTGACTTCTGCTGAGATATTCTCTCCCTGGTAGGGTCCCCGCTCCCAAAAAGTCTCCTCTCCCTCCGCTTCCTCCCTGGCTGTCAGCACACACATCCCAGGGCTCTTCAATGTGCCTCCAGCTGCGCCCTGTGGCTGCTGCTCGGGGCTCGGCTACCTCTGCTGTCTGGGTCCCGGTTCTTCCAGAGCAAGGCTGCAAATCCGCTCCCTCCACGTGCAAACTGCCTCCCTGCAGCTGGGGTGTCCACAGCGTTCCGGGGCGCTGATCGGACAAGGCGGGCTGCTCCGGCTGCCTCTTCCACCCAACCCTGCCCTTTCCTGCCAACGCGCCAGGGACGGTGCCCTCTGCTGGGTCCACGTTCGTCTGCTACTGAATTCAGCTGGGCTGATAGGAGTAGTTGCCAATATTTTAGCTTGGTTGTTGAAATGTATCTTGACTTCCCTACCTTTTCCTTCTATTCCATAAATCTGGTAAAATATAAACAACAACTAATATTACCCACTGACCCCTTCTGATTTATCATCTTCATTATTCTCTTTACAGATTCTTCTAGTAGCTCTTAATAGACATTAGATCCCCCTTATTCTAGCTTTCCTTTCAGTGTAAGACAATAAATAAAGTACAAGTCGGGTCTCTTCTGTGTGCTGAGGACACGCCATTGAATAAAACCATGTCCGTGCCCTCGCGGAGTGTACATTCAGTGGGGTTAGCGGGTACCTCCTTTCTGATAGAGTGAGTTCAGTAAACATCTCACTTCCAAAGTCGTCTTCATCTCCTTGGCCTAAAGTCCACATAGACCCTCATAAGTAAATGATCATCATAAAGGTCTTAATGGATCAGAAAAATTTTATAAATCAAGTCTTTTTAGGAATAGAGCTTTGGGATTTGAAATCATGATAAAACTTCCATATTTTGCCCCAAGTTGACATGCATTTTTTACTTTAAACATGTACAGATCGAAGCAAGGGAAAGTTGCTGGGGGGGGGGGGGGGGGGGAGGTTCCATCACCTGTTTCTGTAAATGAAATTTTCCTGGAACCAAGCATGTGTATGTTTTTTAAAAATATATTTTCATTTATTTTTAGAGAGAGAAGGGGGAGAGAGAGAAACATCAATGAGAGAGACACATCGATTTGTTACCTTCTGCACAACTGCCAATGGAGATCAAGCCCACAACCCAGGCATGTGCCCTGACTGGGAGTCAACCCAGCAACCTCTTGGTCCATGGGTTGACGCTTAACCACTGAGCCATACCAGCCGGGTACATATGTATTACTTTATGTGTGTGGCTGTGTCCATGCTACAATGACAGAACTGAGTGGATGTAACAGAGACTGTAATACATTAAACGGTGTCTCCCAAAATGATATATTGAAGTCTTAATCCCTAGTAACTGTGAATGTGACTTTATCTGGAAATATGGTCAAGTTAAGCTGAGGTCGTACTGGATCTAATGACTGCTATAAAAGACAGAAGATGGAGATCTGGATGCAGAGACATACAGACAAACAGGAAAGTAGCCCATGTGAGGACCGAGACAGGCACCGGAGTGATGAAGGCACAAGCCAAGGAATGCGGGGGGCGCCGCAACCATCAGAAGCTAGGGGACAGTCATGCAATAGGCTTTTTCCTAGAACTTCAGAGAGCGCATGGCCCTGCTAACACCTTGATTTCACACGTCCTGCCTTCAGAACCGAAAGAATAAATGTCTGTTGTTGAAGCTACCAAGTTTGTGTAATTTGTTACTGCAGCCTTAGGAAGTTAAAACAGAGACCTGGTGGCCTGCAAAGTCTAAACTATTTACTCTCTGGCTCGTTATAGAAAAAAAAAAAACTTGCCAATGTCTGAGTTAGATCATGCCTGTTTCCATTCTGTCTTTATTTGTCCCTTTGGATCTATGAATGTGAAGAGTATTCTCTTTTCTATATAGTCCACGATACAGTTTTGCAATCTTGCAAATTAGATAATCAATAAGTTCTTTAACAGAGTAATATGAACATATATCATCACAAGTAAAGATGCATCCTTGTGGTAATGTCATGAGTGTTTATAAATCAATACCAATTACATGTTAAAAATTAGTGATGAAAAGATCATTTGGGGTATCCTTGAGCTTTATAGAACATCTCTAGCACGAAATATCTGAGTTTTCTTTGCTTGTGAAGTAATTCTAAAGTGCCATGATAAATCAAGACATCGTATTCAAATAAATGATCAAAGTCAAAAACATTTTGATGTTAGCGATTTCGAGCACTAAGAAGCCCTTTGCCTCTCTGTCTTGCCGTGTTTTGTACATGGTTCAAACTCTTGAAGGATTCAAGCCGGCCTGGAATGTTTGCAGCCCTGGCTCCCCTCGGCAGGACGTCAGGGAGTTCAACGGGACTTCAAAAGGCAGACTTCTGCGCTGTCTCCCACGCTCAAGGCAGACGGTGAGAAGGGTAGAAGGGGCAGCTGAAGTAGCGCTCCGTTGTTTTTTGTTTTTTATTTATTTATTTTTTTATCCGCACTTGAAGGCATTTTTGCATTTATCTTCAGATAGAGCGGGAGGGAGAGAGGGAGGAGGAGAGAGAGAGAAACGTCCATGTGAGAGAGACACATTAGCGCTCCCCTGTTGGAGCACTTTGCTCCTGCCTGGAGCCTTCCACCAAAAAGAGGGTCACCGTGCGGCTCTTTAGCATAAAGCATGGAATGGACGGGACCTTCGCTGCCTCAGCGGGCGGGCTTTTGAGAAATAAGGGAAATGATCAGGAAGACAGTTGACCAAACACTTTTAATTGAACTGGCAACAGCAAGTATTTAACAATATGGAGCCCATTTGGTTAATTTTCATTAGCTCCTTGAAAAACAACTGAGTTAAAAACCATAACACTCCTTTAGAAAACACAGCTTGTCTTAAAGCAAATGCCATGATATGGTTATTTGCTTTTTCTCAATCTCTTGCAGTGTATTTGATTGACTGAATGAGTGGGCAGGCAGTCCCTGATTCGGGGACACTAGACTTAGGGTGATCATATGCTCCATCTCAAATATATTATTTAAACAAGCTTTGAAACTTGGCTAGAGAACTTCACATTATTACATTGTTTCATAACATGTTCCTAATTCCAAAGAAACATTTTTAAATTGTACTTTACGAAGTAATCTGATTTTAATTGGATTGTCCATGTTTTTAAAACCCTTGATACCAATGATTACAATTTATCAGGCCTATAATAAACATTCCTAAATTCATCTGCACTCCTAAAATTCCATGAGCTCATGTCTATCTAGCAACTGAAATAAAAACAAACATCCAAACCCAAAGGATTAAGTAATCTTTTGGTCACTATCACTCATGCTTCTGTTGTTATTTATTTTCTGTAAGAATCACACATTTCTGATTGTTACCTTGAGTAACTTCTGCATGCACTGTCCTCTTGACTTTATAATAGTTTGAAAAAGCTCACCCAAGAGAATAAGCAGACTTCAGAAAAACACTAA